AATTCAAACTTCTACCTATTATAAACAAGACAAAAGCATTTCTAATCTACCAAGTATTAGAAAGAAGGCTAATGTTTGGGGGTAAAAATACCCTGGACACGTGGAGGATGCTCATTGGTGTTTAAAAAATAAAAGAATTATTCGAGGTCTACCTCGAACTTGCCGAGGAGACTGGATTCGCCCATAAACAAGGCTAAGTGTAAAAAGCCCTGGTTCGACCTGGACGGGTTTGATCTGCTCAAACCCGACAGGTTCGACATGAAAAAAACAAAGGTAACCGTCGGTCGTGAGCACTGTCGAACCCACCATCTATAAATAGAGGGCCTCATATCACGACTCAGGTATCGAATCTCACCTAGAACTTAATATTGAGTCCGACCTGAATTGACTTAAGCGTCGGAGAGTTTGCCCTCTTGTGCAGGTTCACTCTTGAGTACAGGTCGAGCCGGGAACAGGGTTTGAGCTTGGTTCATTAAACTATGTTGTGCAATTCTTTGTATAAAAAAAGGGTATGCGCAACCTCATTTCCTTCGCCAAGAACATAAAGAAATTGGATTTCTTGGAAAGATGTCGCCCACAACCGAATGTCATCAACCCAGGAAGCCAATTCGTTGTGGAGAACGGCCTCACTGAAGATCATATTAACGACTTCCAGGGAATACGACTCCGCCACAACTTTGGAAAACCCCATCCGTGAAGCTAGACGAAGACCCTCTCGAATCGCCAAAATTTCTACCAAAATCAGACTGAGGAGAGAATGGGAAGAGTAAAGAGCCGYCTGAATAATGTTATTCTCAACCCRAATCAGAACCCCTACCTCAGWTCTTCTTTCAATTTGACCATAGGCAACGTCTGAATTGATCTTCACAAAACCCCTTGGGAGAGGGGTCCAAATTTGGACATGAGGTAAGGGGCTTTTAGGTTTCTTTTTTTCTTGTTGATGTTTTCTTAGAAATTCTTCAAAAAAATCAACAATCCAAGATACTTTCACACTAATATCAATAAGGCCCTTATTGAATATGAAGGAGTTGCGATCGTTCCATAARGCCCGACAATTAATACTGGCCAAAGATAAGTCCTTTGGAGAAAGARAGTCCATCATCGCCGTCCACTGATCAAGAAAACTGTCGTTGAACTGATTCCCGAGAACCACTTCAGGTAAGAGTAGTTTCCAGATTTCTATACTTCTTTTACATCCCACTATAGCATGATCAACAAATTCATACTTATTGAAACATATATGACAAATAGATGAGACATCCATACCCCTATTTCTCAAATTAACCATCATTGGAATACTATTTTGTACTACTTTCCAAAGGAAKATTTTAGTCTTCGAGGGGAGATCGRTTTTCCAAAACTCTTTCCACCACCTCTTCTTGTAATCATCACTAAGGCCATTAACTAAGACATGAGCTCTCATTGCAAGCTTATAGCCACTTTTGACAGTGTATACCCCATGCTTTTGATAATGCCAAATCCACCTATCAGAGCCTCCAAAACCACTTATACGGATGCTTGATATCTACTCAACATCCTCTTCACCGACCAAATCCCTCAACTTGGGAATATTCCAAYTCTCAGAGGGGGTAATAAATTCTGTTACAAGGACCTATTCACCAACTCTTCCATGTTGAGA